TGTAATCCTACCTTTTATTAAATTAATAAATACTTTATTATTAATAAGGTAATTATAAAATATTAATAGTGCTTTAGTGCCTATAGCGTTAAAGGTAGTAATAGTCTAATCTATAAAATCTAACTAGAAAGCGCTAAGAAGGTAACAGCTATAGAGGTTAGCGTCTAACTATATAGTAATTATATATATTATATACAATCTAACCTTATAGGGGTCTAACTTATTAAGATTAAAGTTAATATAGTTACTTTATATTAATAGATTAATATAGTAAATAAAGGTAGGTAGAAGAGGAAGAGGTTATAAGAGGTATAATAATAAGGATAGTAAGTATAAATATAAATATAAGTTATAGGTATTTATTACTAGTTAACTTAATAGCCTTACTATTACTAGTAGTAGCTTTTTACCTTTTTTTTTTCTACTTATTATTAATATAGATTTAGTTAAGATAAAGTAAGGAATTAAAGAAAGTTATAATAATAATAATAGTTAAATTTATAAAGGATTATTTACTAATAGGCTAGTTAATTCTCTTTACTCCTAGTAAAATAAACCTTACTAATCTATTTAATAGTAGTAATCTTATAATTTAATTACACACTAATTAGTATTAGTTAAATTATATAAGAGGGATATCCTATAGATTATATAATAAATTATAATATAAAATATAGTAGTTACTTATTATATTAGTTAGTTATAAAGTAAATCTAGACTTTTAGGTAGTATACTAGTAGTAAGGTAGATACTACTAAGGGAGGCAGTATGTCACGTAAATATCACGTGACTACCTCCCCCAAAGCATACCTACCGTATACCAACAGGTATATATGGCCTGAATTCTCACAGATATACAACAGCCAGCAGGAGCTCCACTTCTTTTGCATATTTAACAATTAAGAGTCTCATTCGCTTAGTAGCACTACGTGTATCTCACGTAACCTAACCTACTGCATACAGGATTTCCAGAAGACCTGTGTTTAATTTCCTATGTAGGCAGCAGAAGGCAGCAACAGGGTATTCCTTTGCGTTAGACCTAACCCTGCCCCTACTATAGGCGTACATTGCTTGGCTGCCCTCTGGATTACAAACTAGCTCTAACAGAAATTGGCACCTTCTGTGAAAGCTGGGGGGGTGTGTCAAAAGTGGTATATATGGCCTGAATTCTCACAGATGTGCAACAGCCAGCAGGAGCTCCACTTCTTTTGCATATTTGACAGTTGCCTTTCTGCCACGCTGGTCACGTTTAGGTTCAAGTTTGCCTCACACACAGATGGACACGAACAGAATCAGTCAGCGCGAGCACGACTACACACAAAAGCGGGCAATAGGGTAGAGGGGGAATGTTCCACGTGCAACATATGTACATCTTCAACAATACCCATCAAATCACCGTTAACCAAGGCACCAGATCCTGCACCCGCGGCCCACGAAACCCACGAGAACCACCTCAGGAAGCGGAGCCTGAGACGATCGAAACATAGAAAGGATAGGCGTCAAAAGTATGCGAGGCGTTGGATATTAGACGGAAGATGCGCCGGGCTGGTCTGATAATGACTCAAGGCTATCGCTGTCCTTAGCAACTGCCTGAACTACGGCCATTAAGGCGACCCAACTAGGGATTTCTTCACAAGTCTCACCTGGTCATCTTCTCATCTCACTATATACCGGGCACAATTGAAGAGGTGAAGGGGCTACTCTGTCATCCCAACGGTACTTTCACAATAACCTTTACCCCAGGTCACAACTAAACCATCGCAATCTTGTCTTCCTAATTTACGCCACCGGCGTGGCGCTATACCCTACAAGTTTGTCTCAATATGGTCTGGCTAAGCACAACCTGGCGTGAGAAGAATTCCTTCCCGCTGGTTCCAAGAGACTTCAAGAGCGCACCAAACAAGTGGTAGTGTTGATGCTGTTGAGGAGTGGATGCGTCAGGAGCCCAGGAAGATGCATTCGTGCAAAGAGGTAAGGTATATCATACAAACAGCTTGATTTGCTTACCTGACACCGTCTTGCAAGCAGCATAATCCAAATCACCGTCTGGAGGACAACCCGGAGGACAATCCGACGCCCTCGTTAACCAAATCAGCACTCTGTCTTTAGAGACATGACAGCGTCATTAGATTAACAGGATGACCGAACTACCTGGCCCTGAGATCGTGTACGTTCTAGGCCCTCCTACCCCCTCCTGTGATTTGGCATTGACTAATCTTTAAAAGCTCATACCCTTGATAGCAACCCGGCTGCCAGCCAAACAGACAAGCTGTTCGATTACGACAACAACGCCATTTCGATCCGTCTCGGACGAAAGGTGACGCACTGACGAAGCAGGAGAAGGGATGGCACACCGGCACTAGTAACCATTTGTGTGTCGAGGAGCCATTCAACACTATCTGCAACCTGGGAAATACTGCAGATGAGTATTCTTTCTGCGGAATTCATCTGGAATTGCGGCGAGCTTTTGACCTCATCTTGGAAGGGAAGCTGGATGACTGCTGCGAGAAGTATGTCTACCCCAAGGAGGAGACAGCGACGTTCCAACAGCCGCCACCACAAGCACGGCCTGTTATGATTCGCAGTCCTTACCAGCAAAACTCTGGACGAGGATGGGGGCTCCTTGTCGGCTATAAAATCTTTTATAGAGGTGTATATCTTGATGCTGCTTACCAGCGTTTCTGTGAGTTCACGCCATTAAATTTTCTCTATTAGGGGTAAAACAAATTGCAGGAATACTAATAGCCTTCAGGCCTGGTTGCTAACCGCAGGCAGCCAAGGGGACAACAGCTGTTGCTCAGAGAAAACTTCCTATCCGCCTACCAAGATGCCCTTGCCAACCAGCCGCCTAGCAGCACAGTACATCAACATGACCACATAACAGGCCAGGCTGTTGGTGGCACGGGACACGTTGACATTCAAACATTTTGTTTCTGGCATCACCTGTGATGTGTTAAGACAATAATTAGAGGAAGGGCGGTGTGAGAGCGAAGTCCTGGGGGGCTAGGAGTAGTTACTAATTCCACATTACAAGGCTGCGTGAGGACAGCTCCTAAGGCTGGTTTTCATTCTATCTCGGTCAGGGTTTAGCAAATTCGGTGGATGCTTTCGTTCTGATAAGTAGGCATTTAAGTTTCGGGTACGTATAAAGTACACTTGCCGTAGGTTGGCCAACACAATCCACAGCCTGTGAGTGCAGAGTCATTGTCAGCAGCAAAAATCAAAACCAATACCCTCGTCCTTATCCAGACCACTAAAATTCCAAGACTCTCCCTCGCTGCCACACACACGACTACCACCAATCTCTTTGCTCGTCGCTTTCGCCCATCCCCTCGTCTACGACAGAGTGGCAGTCCCTAGAGCCAGGGAACTCCTTCATCATGCCGTCTCTAAAAGCTCCCTTGGTGCGTCTGCTGCGCTATGGCTCCAAAAGAAGAGCGACGCATGCCATGGAATGGCAAACGTATGAGGCGTCAGGTGGCTTTTATCACACTAACAGCGTGAAATCAGACCGGGAAGACCTCTGGGAGACAGACAGCTGACCTGCCCTGGCTCATTTGGTTGGGCGGCAGAGTGTGACGGCGGATGCGGCTTCAAGTCATGATGATGGCTGTTATAGACGTCGCATCACAGAGCGTGTACGGTCTGTACATGAAAGCCGGCGCTGGGAAATGTGGTAACGTCAATCGCGCCCCGAGATAACCAGACCCGCTTCCATCCGCGCTTAACAGACGAAGGTCAGGACGGAAATCAGGAGTCTTTTATGCTGTTAGATCTTGTACAGGGTCTCATCTCGAGGGGTTCGTTGGTGCCGAGGGCCATCTTGGCGAGCTTTGTAAGGGAAGATCGACTCGGTACATCGAACCGTGTCTCTAAAGACTCACTGGGTAGCCGGCTGGACGACGACGGCGGCGGAAGACTGTTCTGGTAGATACTGCTGCCCTGCCTGGGCGTCGCATCGACATCATGGACAAGGGCATCCGTGGTTGCTTCAAGGGTTGTGGCCTATCTTCAGGAGTTTGGCCGTCGGCGTCGAGGGACGACGGTGTGCCATAGTCTGGAGGCCAATGCCATCTGAAGCTGGTGGCGAGATTGGGTGTTTGCGTTGATTGTGACATTCCGGGTTTGAAACCTCGAGACAGTTTAGCGGTCGGTCGTTTGCGTCAAGGGTGGTGCTGGCTTGGCGAAAGCCAGGTCGCGATGTTGCCAGGTGTTGTAAGTATTAAGAGAATTCAAAGCATATTTGGTGTTTGAGAGGTGGCAAGGGCTTTGACGCTCCATGGTGCTGGTGATGCTCTGGGGACGATGTCGAAAATGTTTGATATTGTTGGCATTGCGAAGGAGCGCAGCCAAACGGGCACGTGGGGGGATGAGGTGTGTAAGGGAAATAGGATCTCGTCTTCGAGTACGATCGGTCTCTTCTCGAACGCGAGGCCTCTGTCCTTGTGCCATCGGTGCAAGTCTCGTGAGTGTTGATGAGGCTGCTATCCGACCTTAGCCGGGCGCTAGATGCCAATCTGCGAGTTGTCAAGTCGGCGGTGGAGCATTCTCGTACGCATGTCAAGGCCATGTCAAGGCCATTTAGTCAAGTGATAAGAGGGCAAAGGACCTGGTTTTCATTAGAGAGGGCGACTGCCTTGGACCCGGTTCAGTGCGTCTGTACCGGCCCAAGAACTCAAACGAGTCGGATGTAGGCGCTGACAACTTGGTGGCATTCCTCCCTCCCTGGTGGTCACGCCGTGGTCTTACGGACGAAGCCATTTTCCACGCAGGCTCCTGTTCCGAGGGGCAATGCTAATCTTTTATTAACCAACCTCAGCACCTAAGAATACCGTGATCGTGGTGCAAAGCTGAGAGACCAAGTGGACCGATGTAGGAGAAGGGATCAAGCGGCCTTACCTTGGCGGCATGGCCTAAAACGTACAAGGAGCTATTACTGGTGATAAAAGGACATGGTGGCGGTGAAGTAGATAGGTGCAGACGTCGCGTCGAGGTTGAAGATGGCGATTACGAAGACTCTGTCGTCAAGGACCTCGGGGTTGCGCGTGGTAAAAAAGCGCGGCAACTACAGCAGCACCGATCAGGCGGGAGAGCGTCAGGCGAGGCGTCTGTCATTGATGGCGAGAAACCGGAAGGCTGGGAAGCAGAGGGCAAATAATGACGATACGGGATCGGGTCTAGCGGTGTCGAGGGCGTATGGCTTCTGGAGGTTAGATAGATAGACACGTGCACTTGTATTCCCGGAATACATGCTGTCATTATAGCTAGATACCTATTTTTATAGTCTCTTCACTACGTTATTAAAGTCTTCTTATTAGTCTGTGTGTCTCTGAAGTCTAAAATGTGCAAAGGGGAACATTACATCCTGTAGATGGTGGTATAAAGGTAATAATGACTTGTTTCTGCGGACTTAGATAGGAAGATAGTGCGCTTGAAGATGGTCTATGTAGACTTTGGACAAGATTAGACCTGATGTGCTGACAGGCTGCGGTTGGTTGATGTGGGAAACAGGCGAGAATTGTCAACTCTTCCTTTCGGCTTCTGTTGCTAGGTGCCAAGATACCCCAGTTGCACTTCGGGGCAACACCTTATCTCGTGCCGTCGCAAGGCTTCATGGAGAATTCGAAATGATTCGGATGCGTCAGAGTCGGATTACTGGAAATGACCTGGTTAGTGGATAAAAGCGTCAGGGTTCCGGGGGAGTTACTGCGAGGAGAGTTGCTTTGAAGAAAGGAGGTTACCCGGAGGAGCTATGACGCGCTCGCTGGCTTGGAGGTCAAGTTGGGCGGTGCATCGCGCTGGAGACTGCCTGAAGGGGTCTAAGGGGGCGCGACAGCCTCGCGGGCCTGTCATCTGTTGTAGGGACGAGAATCGAGGGACTGCCCAGAATAGGTAGGGCCCTAATAAACTTGTCTTTTGGATTGGGAGATGAATCGCTAGACAGCGAGTTAAGCAATCCTGCTTGCTACCGATCAATAGCGCGTGTCGACTCGGGTGGTTTAATTGCGTAGGGTAAACTTCATGTCCTCGCCAATGATTGTCCATTGATGCTCACTCTCTGGGACGCTTTCGCTGTGCTTCCCAACTCGGTAGGTATCTACCTACCGTCCTACCCAATCAAGCGATCAAAAGGCATGATTTGGCCTGGTTCCCTGGTGGCAGGAATGAACCTCTCGGTCGGGACGATGCCGATCCTAACGCCGCCTAGAAGTTCCAGGGACCATAACAAACCGCAAGCCAAGGGGCCCAAAGCCTATGCAGCTACAAGTACATTGGCAAATGTACGGGGCACCGGAGGCTACATGGAAGCCTGAAGTAGCTATTAAGGACGCATTGCCCGACATGGTGCAGGACTACTGGTGCTTCGTTGGTAGCCGTTGGATCATTAGTTGAGGGTGGTTAGATGGACGTCGAGAAAAATTGGGAAAGACTTCCAAGTGAGACAGTTTCCACAACGCTCTTCCTGTGCTGTGCCATGTGCGGCGGTAAAGGGCGCGAGGATCCCTAACAGCCCCAACTCGCATGTGCACGCGGCAGACATTGACGGACCCGGATCGTTGGAGCGGTGGATAGCGAAAATCCGATCCCCACTGTAGTCTTGAGAGTTGTTGTTTTGAAATTGGGATTTGATCAAGTCGTTTGATAGAGTCTGGCCGATTGTGATAAATAGTGGAGAGAACTCTCTCGGCTGGTGGGGGTCGATTGATGAAGAGAAGGGGAGAAGAGGTGCCGGCCGGCATTGTCTTCTTGATGGATATAATGGACGGTATGTCATTGTAGATGGCGGTGATGGAGGGCAGGGTGTCGCAAGGATTGGTTGACTGATTTCATGAGGGTGCGGTCGGAAGCGCGGCGTTGGAGGCGAGGGCGGAGTTCTTTCGAGAGAGGCGCATTACTTCGTGACAGTTGGTGTTCTTGAGGATTATCGACAAGCCAAGGGACGTACGTGTTTCGGATTGGTGGAATTAAGGAAAAGGGAAGTTAGGTGATCGGGGCGTAGCATGCGCAAGGTTTCTTGCAGGTAAGTATTATTCTCATACGTTACTACTCAAAAGTCTGGCCACATCATAAACCAAAACCAAAACCTGAACCATTCAGCAGCTCCGACTGTAATGGGCCGGATCCCTCTATTGGCTCATTCCAAAACTAAGACAGAAGTTAGTAGGTGTGTCCTTATTTATGTATCTAGACTTTCAACTTACATACCTCGTGCGAATTAATGATAGCTGTTACTTGGGTAGGGGGGCGCCAGCGGACCTCTTGCTCAAGGTGAGGAGATGGGAGGGGAGGGGAAGTAGGTGGCCAATGCTTAGCGAGTATCATTACATCAGCATCGGGCAATCAAACATCTAGGAAAAACGGCTACTAATTCCAAGTCAACAGGCAGGTTTCTACTGACGCATTAGTCTGCTCTCTAATGCTAGGATTATTAGGCCTGTTTTCTATCCCATGACGCCAAAACTTAGAATAAACTTAGGTGTCAGGCAGAGATAGACAAGAGGACTGACGCGCAGTCTTCAGACCTAACGACAGCAACCGCAGCAGGGCAGCCAAGCTTGAGGAAGCTTGCATAGCACATATGTATTAACATTAACGCCTTGTTACGTGTAAAGGCGTAGCTATACTTTAATAAGAAAATAGTCTTTACTATAACCTATATACTAAAGTAGGTAGTAAATAATAAGTTACTATAAGAGGTGTTTAACTAGGAGAGGTAAGAGAGTAGTTTAGACTAGCTAAAAGAAGTAAGAGGTATATATATCTAGTATAGACTAGTAATACCTCTACTACTTTAGAGCTAAATAGGCTAGATAAGCTTGATAATAGTGCTTTAGAGAGTAAAAATTAAGATGTAGACTAAAGTAATAGCTAGAATATAAGCTAGAGTTAAAACTATTTAGAAGATATTAATAAATTACTATAATTAATATATTATTTATAATAAAGATAACTACTACTACGACCTTTACCCTTATAGAGACTACTACTATAGTAGCTACTACTAGTACTACTAGTACTACTACCTCCTTTACTACCTTTACTACTTATACTACCTCTTAGTAGGTATTAATATAATAAGTAATAATTAAACTTAATAGTATTACTATGTAATAATATCCCTAGGCTAAGGGGCAGGGTGCCTATAGATTGGTTAATTACTAGCTAATTAGCAAGACGTTAGCCTAGCTAGCTAGCTAAAGTAGCTAAGTTAAATTCTATATCTACTAATATCTCTATCTATTAATTAATTAATTAATTTAATTAACTTAACCTTTATCTTTTTTCTTAATCTAGGCCCTTAGCTAATTATCTTATAATTATTTAACTTCTTCTTTATAAGGCAATTAGCCTAGAAGATAAATAACGTATATATATAGCGAGTTGCGTATTATAGCGAGTTACGCACTTCCTTATTGTACCTTAAAGGGTGGTTTTTTAACTAATTATTAAAGATTAAAGACTTAACTAAAATAGATACAACTTTCTATAAGGCTTTTAATAAGACTTATAAAGCGATATTAAATCTCTAGAAAGTATTGTCCTAATAGTACTAGAAGAACCCTTATCTAAAGTACTTAATAAGGCTTAGAGTTTATTCTCTTAAAATAAGTAGAATAATATTTTCTAGAGATTTAATATTACTTTAGAAGTCTTATTAAGAGTTATATAGAAAGTTATATCTATTTTAGTTAGGTTTTTAATTTTTAATAAATAGTTAAAAAACTACCCTTTAAGGTATAATAAGGAAGTACGTAACTTACTATAATATATAACTTACTATAACATATATAATAAGTAAGTTAATTAAATAAGTAAAGTAATTAGCCTACTATAACTACCTTATAGAAATAATAAAGAACTAATAATAATATAGTTAAACTAATTTAAACTACTTAGAATCCTTTACTTTAGATATCTCTTTATTAAAATAGCACGTTTATACGTTATATCTAGCGTTCCTATAGGTGCTATAACGCTATTAACCTGTTTTTATCTTTAGTCTATAACTACTACTCTAATATATTTCCTTTTATACTTAGGCTATAGCCTCTCTCTATAACTAAATATCCTATATATTAGCTATAGTACCACTTCCTTTTTATTTAAGGTAAATCTTTTTAGTTCTTTTATATTAGTTAAGTAAGTTATTTTTTTTAAAAGGCTTTTAATCTTAGCTCTTAATAAAGTATTTTTATATATATATATCTTAGTGCTTTTTTAAGATTATACTTAGTAGCTATTAAACTATATATTAAGAAGCTACTTAAATAATTAATAAAGTAATTTTTAATTAAAGTTCTTTAAGAATTTATCTTTAATATAGTATATAGTATTTAAGAAGTCTAAGCTAAAGGTATTATTAACAGGGAACCTAAAAGTATTAAAGTATATTATTAAATAGTAGGGATTATAATAGTTACTTAATTAATTCTGTTCTATGTTCTATATCTCTTGTAAATTACTATAGAAATAGGGAAAACCTTTATTTCTTAGTTAGGAAATCCCTAGCTAATCCTAGTGATATTATTAGTAAAGTTACTATTAGAGGTAAGGCTAATTTACTACTTATTCCCTAATAATTTACTATAAGGTAACTATATATTTACTAGCTAATTTATATATAATTCTGCTATATTTAATACACCCCCTTAGCGCTAGTAGAGTAATTAATTACTATAAAGCCTATACTAAATATTATCTATATATAGCCTATTTATTTATTAATTATCCTTTAATATCTTATACGTTTTTCTCCTTTATCTAGTAGTAAAGCTTTACTTTATTATTAGCTAATTCTTACTATTAATTTACTTTAAGGCGTATATATTAGTTACTTATATTTACTTAAGCTATAAATATAGTAAATTATAGCATACTAAGTGCTTTTATTAATCTATTAGCTATTAGTTTAGTAGACTTCTTATATTTAATAGTAATTTAATTTACTACTACTTCTTAGTATAGCTAGTATTTATAAATATTTATATACTATAGCCTTATTTATAATTAAATAAGCTTCTTAGTAATAAGCCTAATAGTTTAGGTATTATTATAGCTAATATAAATAGTTAGTTACTATTTAGTAGCTATCTACTTATTAAGTAATAATTTAGTTCCTAGTTATATTAATAGTTAAATACTTAGTATAGTAATTAATTTACTAGTAAAAAGCACTTTTTTTATAGTAAATAATAAGGCTAGTAATTTAGCCTTAGTAGTT